CTTGATATTGGAATGTGCAATATAATTAAAAGCAGTTCAGGGTTTCGATTGTTGTAACGACATTAATTTCATCAACTTAATGTTTTATTGTAGGTCTCTCATGAGTATCACACTGCAGGAGGTACCTTCATAGGTTTTACTTTACTGTAGTCTAAGGAATGGAATATGTAGTAAGATTAAATATTGAGATTCCGAATTGTCTCATGTATTTTGTTATAGGGTATGATTCAAGGTTACATGTATATTCGTTTTATGGGTATCATTAAAAGCATGGCCACAGTAAGTACTCTCACTATAAGTTATTGTTTGCCAGCGCATCTTTCGTTCATGATTGTTAGTTTATTGTAATAATATTATGGGCATGCATGTTCTTATGAACAAACAACAATTGTTTGCACATTGGAAAGTATTCATGTGTTCTATATTTATATAAATTTGCTCAGTGCAACCCAGCAAATAAATCTTACTAAGAACCTGTATGATCTTACAAGATGTTGTAAGGCAAAGTAAGATTAAATCTGTCTTGTAGAATCTTATCAAGCAGTTAAGATGTCAAATAAGATTATGACAAATCTTACAAGATCTTATAAGAATAACAATGCCTGTTTATAATAGAAAAACTGAATGTAAGAGGTAATTATGTCTGTTTATGGCTATACTATACATTTTATTCATTATGAAAAAAAAGAATGAAATGAATTAAGTTAAATCAATGAAACTCATAATTATTTGGTAATGCTATGACATAAGACTTTTTTTGTCCCTGTAGTGGAATATTAATATAAATACATTTTTTAACAATATTTTTTAGGGGTATGGCAATGAGCTGCCGATTGTCATTATCAATAAGATTAAAGATGGTACTAATATGATTTCCTGATGTAACATCACAAATTTGCTTGTTCCTGCAAGGTCGTACATCAGTCAGAGGTGATGAACCGTTAACTATTGGAAAGGTATTAATAATGCAGAAGGGATATTCAGCAACATAAAAGTTTACTATTTCACCATACTCGACGTTTAGTGTGTCAGATAAATAGTAACTGCATATTGTATTGTTCCTTGCATGGCCTTTTCTATTATATTGCTTGCTATGATATATTGTGTTTGAAAACATCAATCTTTGAAATATGTAAACATCTCCGCTAATAGAAATGCCATTTGCTGAAGCTAATTCACTTTCTTCAGGAGTAAGCATATGACAAGATAACTTTCCAATTGCATAGCAATTATTATCAATTTTTGTCATGCTGGTACTGGTTTTACTGAGAATTTTATTTATATAAGCTTGTGCCTCAGCAGATTCTTTTATGCTTAGCTCCCGCAATTTATCAGGTATTGTTTGTGACATTTGTATTTGAAATGCCATTTGATACACTATTTTACGTGTACCATGATACGTGCTACCCAGATAACCATTTAGGTTTTCAAATCCAAACATGGAGTAGGCCCACAATGGGCCCCATAATTGGACTACACTTACAAGGTGTTCCATGGAGTGCATATTTGCTGTATATATAGATGGTGAATAAAGCTCTCCTGCTGTTTGATAAAAGGTTGACAGCATCTTGTAAGCTATGTTTAAATCATTGATTTTTATTCCGTCTGATAATAGGATGTGTACAGCAGAAACCAGCATTGATAAATGGTGAGAGTATTCTGATGGCAGGAACAAAGAAAATATGGGCAAGGCATAAAATAAAATCCATGCCCTATACTCTGATGCCTTGTAGAAAGACATTTGCTCTAAGGAACGTGGTGGACGCTGGATCTCTTTTTGAGGCTTCACCTTATACACTATCTTTTCAATTGTGTGTACATGTTTATGCAAGC